GGCTCGGGTGTGAAATGTATGGTTTTCAGGGTTTGTAGCATTATTTTGTTATCATTTTTATCATTAACTCTGTTTTCCTGGGTCTTTTCACGTGTGTTATGAATAAATCTTCTTTTTTTCGATACCGGTACTAGTTTTATTTTGTTGTATTTATGGCCGGCCTTCACTTTAAAGGCCGGTCCGTGAAAATATTGTCGGGCATAAACCGGTCCGTGGTGCAAAAACGGTTGAGGACCGCTGCTCTAGGGCAAGATACTAACCCCAAGTTGCTCACTGATGCATCCATCAGAGTATGAATGTGTTTGAATGTTAGATAGAAAGCACTTAAGTATAGAAAAAAGTGCCTTTGTGAATGAGGCATGTTGTCTAAAGTGCTTTGAGTGCTCTGGGAGAGTAGAAAAGTGCTGATTAATTGATGATGTTGACTATAAAAATGCATCATATACTTATACCAAAAATGTTGTTTTGTAACTGCAGTACACTACAGGTAATATTACAGTAAACCTTTTACATCTAACTTGTTAATCTGTGGGTTGGACTTTATCAATATTCAATTAAATAGTTTAAATGGCACTGAACACTACTCCACCTGAGAAACTATAATATACAGACATTAGTATAATTAGTTTTTGTCTAACTCTGTTTGTTCTGTTATATTAGTAGTAAGCACAGGCATTTATATGAGACTGTCCTGTATAAGCTCATGCACCTCTAAAAGTGCTGAAGTCGTGACAGAGAGCATCTTCAGCATGTTATCAGCAGCTGGGAACATCACCTCAAAGATAAGAGCACGCCTCACTCCAGGGCATGTCCACTGCAATCGTGAAGTCATGAACTGAATCATCTGTAAGCTTCGGAAAATTGTTTCTTAGGACTGGAAAATAAAATCTTTTTGATTCCATTTAAAGCTTTATTTGAACTTATGGACAGAACCCATTTTAGTTTCCTATTATGTTTTTGTTTGAATACTACTAGCACTTTAATTTGTATTATCTGATATTTTTATTTATTTCATTCTTAGTGTGGCGGTCCTATTGAGATGTTAAAAGTACATTTGATTATTTTTAAATTCATGTGTTTCCTGTTTTAATTTGCTGTGGGATGAGACAACAGGGTAATATTCACAGGTGGGCAGACGTGAGCAGATTCTTATTTTAGAATCAATCCTTTTACACTTCCCTTTTGAACAAGCATGTGGCAACAGTCGGAAAGGCAAACTTCCTTTTAACAGGACGAAACCCCGGGTAGAACCAGGCTCAGGGAGGGGCAGCCATCTGCCACCACTGGTTGGAAACATAGTTGGTAAAAAAGAAGTAATGCATCATGGGATGTGCCCAGCAACGTCTTGCGCTAAATAACTAAGAGAGAATTTAGGATCACCCGATCCAGCCCTAACTATATGCTTTAGCAAAAAGTAAAGTTTTAACTCTAATCAGAAAGCAGAGATAGTGTCTGTCTCCTGAATCCAAACTCGGAGATGGTTCCATAGAAGAGGGGCCTGTAGAGTGTGGGGTTAAATGCGTTGGTTTATCCTGCCTCTTGCTCAAACAGGATTAAAAGTGCAACCTTTATGACAACATCTTTTTTTGTAGGATGAATCGAACACTGCTCTGTTTCCTGTGCAGCCAAAAGTGCCGTAAAAGCACCGCATTGATTCTGATATATCTAGGGTGGGCCATATATATGGGTACAGCGTAATAACATGGGAATGGTTGGTGATATTAAAGTCCTGTTTGTGGCACATTAGTATATGTGAGGGGGCAAACTCCTCAAGATAGTTGGTGACCATGGTGGCCATTTAGAAGTCGGCCATCTTGGATACAACTTTTGTTTTTTCAATAGGAAGAGGGCCATGTGACACATCAAACTTATTGGTAATGTCACAAGAAAAACAATGGTGTGCTTGGTTTCAACATAACTTTATTCTTTCATGAGTTATTT